CAGAGATCTGTGGGTGGATCTGTGTGATAGAGGGGCTGCTGCCCTCTGTGGAGCTTGGCTTAAGTCTTTGGTCCTGGAATCTGTGTAAGTTGGAGATACTGCTGCTGACCAAAGACCTGAGATCACGGGTCAGTTTCCAGAACCTAAAAGGGCAGACAGTGGAAGATCTGCCTGTAATCAGCTGACTGGTGAGGCTCCGAGGTATATTCAGACTTGCCCAGTCCAGTTGAAGTCGACTTTATGGGAGACACGAAGAGAAGCTGGCCGAAAACTTGGCTGCACGGATTGAGGAGAGATGCGAACACATTGATGAGAGATGTTCTGCTACAATGGAGAATACTGGCATGGAGACAGCTGTAGAGGATACAAGGTTTGAAAGACATTCATGAGAATTTTTGAACCTCGCTGATACTGGCAGAAACATACGGTGTGCCAATGTGGACTTGAGGATGTTCCTCAATTCTCTGCTCCAAGAACGGATCCAAGATTCATGACGTCTAAAAGAGAAGAGATGGCTGAGATGATCAAAACACTCATGTTCTTGGAAGAGGTCGTGAGAATCCACACGTCCCAAGGGGCATTTACAAGCTATTAAGACCAAAATGCACCATGACCTGGTAAGCCTTTCCCCAGGTTTCGGCCTAGCTAGCAAGCATATGCTCTTCCCTCCCCTGCACTCAGGCATCCATTTGGAAGGATCACAACCTGAGTTGCAAAGAAGCCAGTACTAGAAGAGCAAGCCCCTCCTAGAATCAGAGTTCCCCCAGAATCACACTCTGTGAACAACAGTGAACTCCTTAAAGGTCAAATAGTCTCGACTGAAACAGATAGGAATTGAATACTTAGCTCCCACAAAGAAACGATGGCCTTCCATTAGATTCAGCAAATGCTGGGTTTATGCCTACTCTGGGGTAAAGTGAGTGTGGTAAGTGAGTGGAATCATTGACTGAACCGTAATATGTATTAGACCTCAGTTTTTCAAGACAGTGTAGGTAAATATTATAAGTCAGATAGTGAAATGAACTGTAAAAGTAGCCAATGACATTAAAGACACTGCTTACGTGGACAGTCTTTCACTTGAGTCAAGCCCCTGGGGCACTATATCATGGGGGTGCAGACTTGGTTGCGTTAAATTGCTTTACACAACATGATCGAATGATTAAGTGTTCTCATCACTGATAGAAGTACACCTGGTTCTCAATAGACTAGCATAGCTACAGCAGGGTTCTCACAGCTATAACGGCTCTAGGTGCTTTTGGATTCAAACCTAAATGTATATATTTGGTTTGTTTTCTCTTGTATGTTAAAAGAGAGGATGTAACCCCTTGAAATGTTAACATTGTCCAGTAGGTGTCATTGGGAGTAAAGGGCACCAAATGAACAACTGAATCCTAAATTGGGGGTTATTTCATGTTTCCAATATGTATTTCATGGTTCCTGTTGGTTTCGGAGGCTTCAACAGTAAACAGCTGACATGACCCCTTTAACAGTTTGGACTGCTAGTTTGCATTCTATCTGTCTAGGTTTTCCTTAGAGATGACAAATTGTTACCAAAATTGACAAGTCTGGTTTCTAGGTCGATTTAGTGTGTTTCAAAAACTAACTTCATTTTCGTATAACACCCAAAACATGTAAATCAATTCTATTAAACTTTTTAAAGACTGCAAATGAGATATCAACACAATGTCAAAACTGGAGTCTTCGGAAAATCCCTCCCACCACGGCTGTATGGAAACAAAGAGCTAAACAAAAACCACATTTCTGTGAAATGTATCTGGAAAGTATTGATTCATCGATACCCAGTTGGCAGAGAAGCTGTGCAACCTGCACTCACTCGCTCCCATGTACACAGCAATGGAAATATCCACTCACTCAGCCCTTGGCACAGGACACAAGCCGAAGAGAGGTCTGTTACTTCCAAACACAGGATGAGGCCTCAGAACACCACGAAGCAGGAGAAGGCAAAGCAGGGATTGGAAACCAGTGTGGGTATGACACCAGGTGATGGAGCAGCAAAGGTGAAACTCTCTTTATCTTGGACGCACACTCTCAAGCGGACAGTAGACATGAGATTGAAGGTGATGCACTGAGTGTTAGAAGAGTGCACAGCAGATGCTTGGCTGACACAACTCAAAGAAACCAGTGCAAAATATCCCCACAGTTGATTCTGAGACCAAGATCCGAGCTGCCAAATTTGAGGTAGCAGAGGCAGCGGTCAGGTAGGGAATGGGCTACCAATGATGGTACACGCTGAGTCTCAGGGATCTGGAGTGCGTTGTGGGATGTGGTGGGTCCTATCAAGAGAGCAAACCGACCTGTGACTCCAATGAGAAAGCAGCCAAACTGGCGTGCGCCGTTGAGATTATCGATATGTCCCATGGCCACACCCAGTGCATCTGCAGGACCAGTGATCAGGTTGGCATTTTGCCAATACAGCACTTGTGGGGCTGAATCAGTGATATACTGTATCTGGTGTGAAGGATTCAGGGAGCCTAGGGTTTGAAATCAGAACGAAAAGCCTTAGGATCTGCTACATGCAAAACCTGGGCAGGGATTATGGTTTGGTTTGAGGCACAGGATGCACAACAGCTCTGTGGATGCTTTCGTGCACATGTGACTCAAGGATGAGAGGACAAGGAAGAGTGGCCGAAGTCCACAGAATGAGAAGAGGAAGCATATCCTTCAGTATTGTCTCCCAAAAGCCGATGCTATATTTTGGATGGCACCGGCACGGTACGGCATCGAGGACACCAAGGTAGGTCTGTGGGATCATTCCAGCAGGCCCTGATGTGTGACATCCATGGATGTGCTTCCACTGGTGTTTCAGTAGACAGAGAAGCTCTGGGAAGAACTGGTTTCACTGGGACATTCCCGTGGCACTACATAGCACAAGCTCAGTCCCAGTTTGCTGTTTTGGAAACACTCCAAAATGACACAGAGCAGAATGCAGAGTTGAGAACCTTTAGAAGCTTCATTTCAACAAGAGGAAGTGTCCTCTCTACTTTCAGAACTTTGAGATAAGCGTAATCAAATTGAGGATATGCTAATCGAAATAGTATGGGATGTTCATCACAACAAAGTTAACACCAGCAATTGGAGATTTACCAGTCAACACACACAGGAACAGGACATGGCATCAATGTCTAGGAAAAATTGTCCTCACAGAAATCCCATGGAATTACGTAGACACAAGGGTCTAAAATATTTACTAAACAAAGCTCTAAAAGTCTACATTAGATACCTGATATTACCTGACCAGAAGAGACGTAGAAGAACAGTAAAAGAAAAAGGAATTACCATTTTCAGTTCCTAAGATATTGAAGGCCCAAAAGATAAGCTTTCAATGATCTAGACTGCAAAACGCTATCCAGACCAAGTATTGAAAACGGAGGTGAGGGAAACACTGAAGAACAAAAGTGTCTCAGAATCACAAAAGGCAGAATACCAGAAAAGGGCAAGAGAAAGTCTAAAAACGAGCCAAAAAATATCAGGAAACTCAATGGATCTGATAGTATCAGGGCTAAAATTCAGTCCTAAGCAGACTAGGTAATGCAGAGGGACGCATGAATGACTGTGAAGACAGGGTAATAGAAATCCCTCGGGCAGAAGCAGACATAGGAAAGCAAGTGCAAACCGATGAAAACATTGCTGTTGAATCCTGGTGTAAGGAAAGGCATGAAAGACTAGGATTAATAAGATTCCCAGATTGAAAAGAAAGAGATAAAGAAACAAAAAATGTATGAGAAGTTGTCTGTAGAAAAATCAGACTGAAAATTGCTGAAAGTCAACAAAGAATCATCTATGCGAATTCAGGAAGTACACAGCATCCAAAGGAGTTGGAATCCCAATAGACTTACCAGCAGCTGTATGATTCAAATCAACAAAGTTCATGAGCATCCCAGTGATTTAAATTGCGCCTCGAGGATAGCAACATAGTCACAAGAGAACATCCAGAGGGATTTCAGCTGATATCTGGGCAGCAATATTGCAGGACAGGGAGGAGTGCCAGGACATAGACCATAGCCTGAATGGCAAAATACTGACATCTATGGAAAACTATGCCACATGTCCACAATTTCTAATAACGTCAGAGCTAGAGAATGCCACAGACCAACAAATCTTAAAAGAATTCAGCAGTTCGAAACATATCCTAAAAGATAGGTTGAGAATACTCCCCTGAATTAAAAAGTAGCAAGATGAAATGGAAAGAAGAAAACCATTATTGGAAATGCAAGAAGAGCATGAGTGGCAAAGAAGAAACAAGGAGAAGGAAAGGAGGACATCAAAATCCTACATATGGAGAGGGAAGCAGGAAATAGTATGTGATTGGAAGCACTATCTTAAGTGAATCAGCTTATATGACTCTCTGTTTGAAGTAAATGGAGAGATGCATGTCCTGACGTGTTTGGAAAATAAACGAGAAGCAGACCAACAAAGAATCACACAATTAAGGAAGCATCAAAGGGTACGGTTGGCTGACATTTCCCAAGGGATACATGATTATTGAAAATAAAATACTCAAAGTGATGTCAAGGATCATTCAGCACGCATCGACCCAGTATCGCGGCTTGCTTGTACTCAGCACACTTGTAATCGGAAATCAGAGGCATGCATTTCTATTCTTCATTATTGATTCATAAGAGCATATCGTGACCTAAACTAAATGCCAACTTGGAATCAAATGGTTTCCTAGTCGGTGATATAGTCTTGCAAGTCTTCCAACAGGATGAATGAATGACATACACTACCCTACGTAGAGAGGAAATGGCATAAGCCTATAACAAAAAAAGTAGCTCTGCAAAAGTGTACTAAGAGCAAAAGAGACAGAAAATAAAGTCCACATTGGGGTTGGATTCATTTCAAGGAATCCAGACCCCATGGAAAAAATGGATCCATGTCCAGGGAGTGCGGGTGTTTCAGCAGAAATCAAACGACGTATATGTATTCCGGGTGTACAGATGTTACAGGAACATAAGTTTCCTTTAATGGGTCTCTGTGTACTGTGCAGTGTTAGAAAGTTTAAAGAAGCGTGAAACCATCAACTGAAAATGGACACACTTCCCTCCTTTAGTACTGTGCATACAGAACTGAACAAAAGGAAAGAGGGAAGAACAAAGGCACATGGGACTTTAGTGGGTCGAATCACATTTAACTTAGGAACTTCTCGTCAGATGCAGCCCATCCCCCAAACACTGAAAAGATGCAGCAGCCATTGTGGATGGCAGATATCAGTTGGATTCCAGGTGGAATATTGGTGTGTACCACGAGGCGTGTGGTGGCTGGTGGATCCTAGGAAACCGGCCAGAGTTCTGTGGGTGGATCAGTTTGAAGTTTGCGCTGTCGCCCTCTGTGAAGCTTTGTTTAGGTCTTTGTTCCGGGAAGCTGTGTCAGTTCGAGATACTGCTGCTGCCCGAAGACCTGAGTTCATGGGTCAGTTTCAAGAACCTGAAAGGGCAGACAGTGGAAGATCTGCCTGTCACCAGCTTACTGGTGAGGCAACGAGGTGATTTCAGACTTGCCCAGTCATGTTGAAGTCAACTTTAAGGGACACACGAAGAGAAGATGGCCGAAAAGCTGGCTGAACAGATTGAGGGGAGATGCGAACATATTGAATAGAGATGTTCTGATACAATGAAGAATACTGGCCTGGAGACAGCTGTAGAGGATACCAGGCTCGAAAGACATTCATGAGACTTATAGAACCTCACTGATACTGGCAGAAACATACGGAGTGCCAACGTGGGCTTGAGGATATTCCTCAATTCCGTGCTCCAAGAACGTGTCCAAGATCCCTGACATCTAAAAGAGAAGAGATGGCAGAAGTGATCCAAACGCTCCTGTTCTTGGAAAAGGTCGTGAGACTCCACGCGTCCCATGGGGCCTTCCCAAGCCATTCAGACCAAAATTCACCAAGCCCAGGTAAGCCTTTTCCCAGGTTTGGGCCTAGCTAGCAAGCACTTGCCCTTCCCTCCCTTCCACTCAGGCATCCATTTGGAAAGATCAGTACCTGAGCTGCAATGAAGACAGTAAAAGAAGAGCAAGCCCCTCCTAGAATCAGAGTTCCTCCAGCTTCACACTCTGTGAACAACAGTGAACTCCTTAAAGGTCAAATAGTCTCGGCTGAAATAGATAGGAAT